TTACGTATGTATGTATATAAATATGTGTGTGTGTTTACATGTATATATATATATATATATGTGTGTGTATATGTATCAAGATATCTGAACGAACCCCGTATTGAGTATTGTTTTACGCATTGCATGATTGCGGATTAGAAATCTGACTTTAATCTGCACTGCCGAATTAACATCCTCTCAGGATCCTGGACGAGTCTTCCCGGGGAAGCGCATGCCTGGACATATGGGCAATACCCGCGTGACTAAGCTTAATCTCCGAGTGTATCGCGTTGAGCCAAGACACAACGCTATATATGTCATCGGTGCCGTACCAGGTATGCGGGACGGGTTGAATTGTACTTGTATGCGATTCTACGCATGAATGCCATTGCGTTGCCCGTGAAAGCTTCCACTTTTCTTCGCTACGATTTCATTACTTCGCTATTGCTGGGTTGGCATCGTCGCCAGTCGACGTCCTGAAGGAGACGCCTAGCCCCCCTGTCATGTCACCTACTCACCTTTGGCCTTTTATTTCTTGTCTTTACACTCACACGCGCATATGCAATACTTACCTTTTGACTTATCTTTCTTCTCTGCATCCACACGCGCATATGCTATACTTGCCTTTTGTCTTTCCTATCCTCTCTGCACCTACACGCGCATATGCTATACTTACCTTTTATCTTTCCTATCTTCTCTGCACCCAAACGCGCATATAATACACTACAGGGCATAAGGAAACGTACGTGCGCATCACGGACTCGCGTCGTAAAGAGTTTCTGCAGCCCCCGCCTTTCCCAACCCACATTCCCAGTATTCATGGACAGGCTGCGCCCGAAACCACAGCTGATCTGAACGTGCCGATTATGAAGCAGGCGTAGGCATACACTGGCGCATTGGGCGAGGACGTGTGTACACGCGACTGTGGGCGTGTATATGAATAAGTGTATGCGTCGGCGTAAGTAGGAGTGTGTATGGTAATAAATGATAAAGAGTATGGTAATAAATAATGATATATGAAAACGCGTATGTTAATCGTTCAGGTCGTTTAGTTGCCATTCACACACCTATGCGCGTCTCATTGTGGAGAAGGCCTTTCTGCGGTGCACAATGATAGGTCTCCGTTTGTAACGCGGCCAAGGTGGGAGCGAGATGCCAAGTAGTATCGGTCAAAGGAAACGATACCAATAGATACTCTTTGATACACTAGTGCAGGATGTCTCCTATAAGTACTACAAATATCGATCACTGTTTGGACTCAAATATCAGTCACTGTTTGCATTCAAATATCAGTCACTGTTTGGATTGCCGCGAGAGCACGATGCCATGAGACAACTGCGAAAGAAACAGCCCTCGATAGAACCTGATTTGGCGTAAGAGGACTGCACGGGTGCGACATTGATTGGTCACCGTTTATAGCGCGGCCCATCTAGAAGCGCAATACATTGAAGGAATGGGTAGGGGACGAAGTATCGGTGGGCTTGCTTTGGCTTAGGAGGACTTCATCAGTACTACATTGATCGGTTTCCGTTTGAAACGCGGTCAATGCGGAAGCGCAACACTAGCAATAAATGTTTAAAGTATTAAGTCATTGACGGGCGTAGAAGACCTTGACGGTTGCCACAATAAGTTGAAACATAGGATATAGTGGCCAATACGAGCTATTTACAGACTTTATATAGCTCGTACTAACGGTACAAAACACATGGGACCTACGATAACGCATTGCATTCTATGGTAATTAATATAAACCGTCGTAACATTTTATATATAGCTCGTTGATTTGAACGGTGCAATCAGTATGACAAAAGATATTAGTGAGTTCTGTTCTCAGAGTTCTTGAATGCTACGAGTCTATGACTGAATATGTGAATGTATTTATGTATTTATATGTACAAACGTATTGTTTAATACGCAATGTAAAAATAGATTTCACAAGCATATTTTAGATATTTGTGTATTTTGAGTGTGAAAAACAATGCATTGTACACACATACATAGATAGGCACTTATTAATACATATTCAGTCATAGTCTCGTACCATCCAAGAACTCTGAGAACATCATTCACAGTTATCTTTTGTCATATTGATATTATTATTTTAGAAGACGGTAGAGGAAGAACTTTAGGAAGAGTCGTGGATGTGCAAATACGACTTCAATAAAATCAAAGCTGTCTCTATCAAATTGTGTATGATAAAAGTTAAAACTGCAACTACAGTATAGAGCAGTCCAACGAGACCTCAGAACGGCGCAATCAGTGCCAGTCACTGCAGACGTTGACGTGTATGGATTTAAAATATAATATAAACAGCTGTATTCTATTATTCATGTCATTGTTCGCTTGCAATCTCTACGAGTAGAGTAGCGTTTTCGTTGTACTGTACGTCTTCCCACAGATTATTGGCGAGAACTGAGAAGCTCCGTGCATCACTAAAATTGAAATAGTCCCGAGACTCTCTCTCTCTATGTCTCAAGACCCAAGCCTAACAATGAATCTCAACAACCAGAGTTGCAGTTGACAATGTGACCTCATACTGTGAAGGTATATACTGTATTAAATATAATGAGAATGTACTGTATGTAGTGTTCCTCTGTGGATATACAATAAGCACTGAAACATGTGTATGTACATAGGGACATCAAAACCATCACAGAAACACATGTGTGAACATGCAGAGATAACAAACTCATCATGGATTATTGATTTGTATATGACTTATAGACAGACATACAAAATCAGAAGCATATGCATGTATGAATAAGATTCCACAGTACTTGTCGGCAGCGTGATCAATCTATTGATACGGCACATCCGTTATCTGCGCAGTTTGGTGCCGAAATTTTATATCTCACACTTGAAACTCAAGTCCACCATAGCCTTCTAAAAGGACAGCATGGCTGAGAGTCTCCTTCCGCTTACTGCACGATTGGGGTTCTAACTTGTAATATGTGATGCATAGATGATACAATACCCATAGGCAATGCCACCAGTACCTCCTCAGCTCACCAGAGCCTGAACTAGATAGTATTTAGTTGTCTTCTGCCCCAGAGGCTCAGAGCACCAGAGACTGGGCCAGTCCTAGTCCTCTGGTTCGCCAGGTGATAAACACAGCCTGGGTCTATCTCTCCTGTGTCTCGATGGAGAGCTCACATGCGTGGTTGACTCCGTCGTCCGCACATTCCTGCCACGGCCACTCCTGCTGTTGCCGTGGCTGCTGGTACTACTTTGTTTGGTGTTATTGGTGTTGTTATTGTTGTTGTCTAGGTGGTCGTCATCGATAGGGTAATCCGTATCCCTATCACCACTGACCTGGTTATGCGTTTTGGCGGTGTTGCTGAAGCTGTGTGTGCTGTTGGTACTGCTATTACTACTGAGCATCCGCTCCATACTCGCCGTCGTCTGGTTCGAAATGGTCGAGAGAAGACTCTTGAGCCCACTGTCCCGTACATTCACACCCCCCCGGGAATTCCCCGCTCCTCCAGGGCCTTTATAACCGTCACTGTCTCTACATACACCATCACTATGCATCCTCACAGCTGACTGCCGGTGCGTCGAGTGTAGACTATCCGCCTCCTGGCTGGGTCTATCCCCTGTGCCGCTCCTGTGCTCTCTCTCGCATCTGTTCACATGGTCGTTGTTGCTGTGGTTGGTGCTGGTAGTACTCTGCGGGGCTGACATCAACTCAGTCACAGACGAGGCTTTGGTCAGCAGTCGGTTCCCATCCAAGCCATCATTGGGTAGCACTGCGTATGCACCGCGTGTGTGATGTAGTAATGTATTGCAACATAGATGGTATGTGTGAGTGTGGTGATAGTGTGTCGGAGGGTTGTACGCCTTGTTTGTGCACGAGACTATCGCTGGTTGACGTGAACGATTGTGGCGTTGCATGTGAAGCATATGGGCGCACGTTGCACGGGTGGTACAATTGATCCCAAAAAATATACCACTGTACGTACAGTCTATCTGATTGACCGACTATTACCACTGTACGTACAGTCTACCTGATTGACGATGGCTGTGAACAACGGTGACAAATCGTGTTAGAACGGGTCATGTGTGCGCATGCACAACAAACACTTCCATACACAAAACAATCATATGCACACACTTAACAATCATATGCAATCACGCCCACACACTTAACAATCACACGCACACACTTAACAATCACACCCACATATTTGACAATCGCACACACACAATTAACCACCCACACACTTAACAATCACACCCACATATTTAACAATCACGCCCACACACTTAACAATCACACCCACACACTTAACAATCACGCCCACACTCTTAACAATCACACCCACACTCTTAACAATCACACCCACACACTTCATAATCACACCCTCACACTTAACAATCACACCCACAATCTTAACAATCACACCCACACACTTCATAATCACACCCAAACATTTAACAATCACACCCACACACCTAACAATCACAACCA